CTGTACATAATTCATGTTAGGAGATCTGTCACTGGCTCCTCGTTGGAATTTGAAGCAGTGAGCAATTTGAACTCCTGCTTTGCCTAACTCATTATAAATGTGCAAGTTCATTTTTGGGGGGAGCTGAATAAAATGGTTATGTAATTACATACTTCTCATAATTATTGAGTAATTATATACTTCTCATAATTACCAAGTAATCATTCTGCTATAACTAGAACTTAATGTTACAACTAATTATATAATTACTGTGTATTACTGTTGTTATCTAGGCATCAGAACAAAGTGTTGCTTTGCTGATAGCTTTTTATCGTAAGCATTTTAAAACAAAAATACTAATATTTGTTGTGTAGCTGAAAGTGGATCTTACATACTGAACATACAGTGGAAAATAACACTTCTTGCAAGTGGGAAAAATGATTGTGTGAATGATTCATTGCATTTGTAATCTGTAAATGGGATAAAATGTTGCTCCTTTTAAAAAAAATGTATAATTAAATGCAAGGGAATATAATACATGAAAATTGTTACTGGCATCCATCTGTCTTGGGAGACAGTGGAAGAGTGCACCTCAAGTGAAGTCAAATTGTTGGAGAGTTATAGCTCCTGATGTGGTTGTAGAGACTAACATGGAAGAGACGTTTTCAGTTGCAGCTGGGGCAGATGAAGGCAACCAGTTGTGCTGATACAGGTGTACTATAGCGTTGTTACTTTGTGCTGCTCCCAGCAGTCTTTCCTCCTCTGGTCACTGCTGTGGATACACAACCTGAATGATTGTCTCCAGGCACTGCAGTCATCTTCAAGGGATTCCCACATGGCAGGGTTAATGTTCATGGCCTTCATGTCATGTTTGCAGACACCTTTGCAATGCAGAGTTGATATGCCAATGGGCCTGGTGTTTGAAGCCAGCTCCATGTAGCGTACGTCCTAAGGGATCATGCCATCTTCCATTCTGTGGATATTACCAAGTCAGCATAGACAGGAGTCTACAAACAAGCTGGGAACAGGTGGGCTTTGGAGAGCACATCTTTGTTTGAGACTCTGTCCTGCCAAATCAAATCAAAACTTTATTAGCAAAGCCAACAGGCCACAGCTGTACAAGAGTTAAAAGTGAAAATAGGGATAAAAGGAAGAAAAGAACAGGCAAAAGGAGGTCCGTCGGGTGAACAGGTCTGTCACTCAGATGGTGGCCCTCAATTTCGCAGCTCTCTCGATGTACCTCGCGACCTTCTCTGTTATCTGACTATCCGTATCAGATAATAGAAAATACAGTGTAATGTCTGGTGAACGGCCGGGGTTGGAGAGAATGAGTGGAGTAATAATCTCATTCCTTAGGTCTTTGTAAAGGGGGCAAGAAAGAAGGACGTGGGACACTGTCTCCGTGTTACCATCTCCACATGGGCAGAGTCGTTTTTCAAATGGAGTCTTTTGGTAACGACCTTCGAGTACAGCAGAGGGAAGAACATCCCATCTAGCCAATGTAAAGGCACGTCTGTATTTTGGGATGGTTAGTTTAGACAAATATGAAGCTGGAGAGTCAAAATGAGAAGGGGGAAAGTAGGTATACCATGGGCACAGTTTCTTTAAGATAGTCAGGTTGTTTTGTCGTTCAATGTCTTTCAGGCGCTGGCCTATTAGACTCTTTGCTTTAATGAGGCCCATTGATAGTAGGGACTGTGAGTGCAGACCGCATGTAAGGAGTTTTTGATGCACAGTTTTAAACCACTTGCTTTTGTGAGGGTCTTGCATTACTAGCGGCAGTAGACCAGGTGGATTCAGATTAAGACGAAGCCAATAATTAAATGTTCTCTGCCAGGTCCGAGTTTCCACAGATGGAAGGCAGGCCTCGAGTCGTAATGCTGCGTTTGGAACACAGGAGGGGACACCGAGTATCTGCCTTAGAAATTTGGACTGGACAGTTTCAAGACTGGAGCAGTGGTTCCCCGTCCAGATTTGCGCCCCGTACAGTAACTGCGCCAGAGGTTTTGCTTGAAAAACTTCAAGGGCTGCTGGGATGTATCTGCCCCCCTTCGTGTAGAAGAAGCGGGACAGCATCTTGATGCTTTGAGCAGCTTTTTCTTTGGCACATTTTTGATGGACATCCCAGGACCCGGTCGACTGGAAAACGATACCCAGATATTTGAAGGCTTTGACTTGTTCAATTGTCTGGTTATCCATCCTCCAGCTGTACTGTCTGTGTTTCCTTGCAAAAACCATAATTTTGGTTTTCTGATAGTTTATTGCAAGTTGCTCTCTCCTACAGTATGCTGAGAATTCACCTATGAGCCTATTTAAGCCTATTCTTGTTCGAGATAGGAGTATCGCATCGTCAGCGTACAAAAGCACTGATATTGCTTTGTCAGCCAGTTTGGGGGCGTGGAAGTCCGGAGATGACAAACAGTTAACCATATCATTGATGTAGATGTTGAATAAAACTGGGGCCAGGATGCAACCTTGCTTGACCCCCTTACTGACAGGAACTGGTCCTATAAGATGGCCATTTAACGAAGTTCTTACATGCAGCACCGTGTCTTTGTATAAACAGCTGATCAGAAATAATAGTCTTTTGTCTATGCTTGAGGTGCTCAATTTATCCCAGAGTCTTACACGTGGAATTGAATCGAAAGCAGCCTTTAGATCGATAAAGGCTGCATATAACACCCCACGGGATTTTTTGGCATATTTGTCAATTAAATAGGCTAGGGTGAAGCAATGGTCTATGGTGGATCTGCCTTGCCTGAAACCCGCTTGCTCTTCCGCTAGAATAGCTTCAGTTTCCAGCCAGCTAGTTAGCTTGGTATAAAGATGTTTGGCATATAGTTTGCTGGGTATAGGCAGAAGGCTGATTGGTCTATAACTCGCCGGATCTGTCATGGGTCCTTTTTTATAGATTGGGATAATTATTGCCTCAGTCCAACCATCTGGGAGTAAACCCGTTGAGTCGATCCAAGAAAATAAAGACGCCAGCAGGGGGGCCCACCAGCCAATGTTGGACTTCAGAAGTTCGGCAGGGATGTAATCATTCCCTGGGGCCTTGTTGTTCTTTAATTGTGCGATTAAATTCTCAACTTCCTTCGCAGTTACTGCTGGCCAATGAGGTAGGTCCTCCAGTTGAATGCATAGTTTGTAATGTTGGGCTTCCTGGTCATAGAACAAAGATTGAAAATGGCGCAACCACTCCATTGGTTCCACTGTACAGATGGAATTAGTACGCTCCTGGTCCAGTAGACCAGATATGGTTCGCCAAAAGCAAGTAGTGTCTTTCTCGTGCGATGCCTTAACCAACCTGTGCCATGCGGCTCTTTCAGCTTCCAGTTTCTTTCTCCTTAATAATTGTTTGTACGTCTGTCCTGCCATGTGATGCCCAAAAACTGATGCAGTGCATGTGGAAGGTGTTGAGGAGTTGCTCATGGGTGTGTGTAAGTTTCCCAAGGCTCACTGTCATAAAGCAGTGCAAGCCTGGTAGACCTTCATCTTGGTATTGGTCATTAGCATAACATTCTCCCATACGCTTTTGGAGAGCTGAGCCATTGCCATCACTGCCTTGCCCAATACGCTTGTTGAGCTAAGCATTGATGAAGATGTTGCTGATTATGGTGGAGCCCAGGTAGACAAAATCGTCTGCCACCTCAAGTATGTAGACACCATTGCTGATGCATTCAGTGCTGGAGACGTCCTGACCTAGGCTGTTGGTCTATATCAAGCTGGTCTAAAATGCATAGCCTAGTCCAGGTTTAGCCAAAGTGATGCTCGTAAGATGTGATGGACTCAAACTTCCTCAGCCATCATGGCAAATTATCAAGGATGGTGAGAGCTGTAGTCCACAACTTCTGGAGGACACCATGTTAAAAAGGTAAAGGACCCCTGACAAGTCCAGCCGCGAACGACTCTGGGGTTGCGGCGCTCATCTTGCTTTACTGGCCGAGGGAGCCTACGTTTGTCCGCAGACAGTTTTTCCAGGTCATGTGGCCAGCATGACTAAGCCACTTCTGGCAAAACCAGAGCAGTGCATGGAAATGCTATTTACCTTCCTGCTGGAGTGGTACCTATTTATCTACTTGCACTTTGATGTGCTTTCGAACTGCTAGGTTGGCAGGAGCTGGGACTGAACAACGGGAGCTCACCCCATTGCAGGGATTCAAACTGCCGACCTTCTGATCGGCAAGTCCAAGGCTCAGTGGTTTACATCACAGCGCCACCATGTTAGCTGCTACTATAAAATATTTGCTTTCCTTCCCAGTTTTACATCATGAACGAGTTAAGTGTGTGTACTCTTCAGTGTACTCTTTAGCCACAATTAAATGCTTAATGAAGTTCTGGTTGTTGATATTCTATAGTATTTTCCTCAGATTTTAAAATAAGTCAGCCACCTTTGAATAAATAAAATAATCAACAACCAGGCACAATAAATTAGGTCTGCTGAATAAGAACAACCCAGTAACAGCAGAAAACACCAAAAAACCCTCATTTCCACTCTCTCAAACACCCTCTCACCTAGGCGATTAAACCCACCCCCTTCTACAGACTCTTGATACTGCGATTTTTTGGCCAGTAACACACCCACTTTATGGTTTTCACTTTCCCAGCCCTGTCTGCTATGACAATTGTTCTTTATGACTTATGGAGAGCCAGTGTGGTGTAGTGGTTAAGAGCGGTAGAGTCGTAATCTGGGGAACCGGGTTCGCGTCTCCGCTCCTCCACATGCAGCTGCTGGGTGACCTTGGGCTAGTCACACCTCTCTGAAATCTCTCAGCCTCACTCACCTCACAGAGTGTTTGTTGTGGGGGAGGAAGGGAAAGGAGAATGTTAGCCGCTTTGAGGCTCCTTCGGGTAGTGATAAAGCGGGATATCAAATCCAAAATTCTTCTTACAGCTTTCTGTTAATGATCATGTGATTATTATTGAGAAATATTGTAACAATTTACGTTTGTTTGTTTTTTAACATGGATGAGCTTTATCAGCCAGAGAAAGTTTTAGCTTTTTCTCTCTTTTTCTTCCAGCTAATGGCAATTATACTATTTTAAATGGGACAAAAATTTTGCATACCAGCAAAGAAGCAAATATCTGGGTTCCTATTGGAGGACTAATTCCGTTTTCAAACTACACAGTTCAGGTGAATGCTTCCAATAGCCAAGGCTATGTGATGAGTGATCCTGTGATGACCACCACACCTCCTTCGGGTAAGTATGATGAAATGTTCTCCACCCACCCCATCACAAGTAAAGCACACAAACATTTTCAGAAGAGCAGTTTCTGGTCAAAATTAAATATTTGAAGGTGGGGTGCAGTTGTGCTGTCACTGCCCTCTCCGCCCCAATATGCACTATACATTTAAAGCAGCGTCAGACCACTTTATAAACAGTCTTGGCTTCCCTCAAAGAATCCTGGGAAATGTAGTTTGTTAAGAGTGCTGATAGCTGTTTGGAGACCCTATTCTCTTCACAGGGACACGGGTGGCGCTGTGGGTTAAACTACAGAGCCTAGGACTTGCCGATCAGAAGGTCGGCGGTTCGAATCCCTGCGACGGGGTGAGCTCCCGTTTCTTGGTCCCTGCTCCTGCCAACCTAGCAGTCCGAAAGCGCGTCAAAGTGCAAGTAGAGAAATAGGTACTGCTCCAGCGGGAAGGTAAATGACGTTTCCGGGCACTGCTCTGGTTCGCCAGAAGCGGCTTAATCATGCTGGCCACATGACCCGGAAGCTGTACGCCGGCTCCCTCAGCCTATAGAGCGAGATGAGCACCGCGACCCCAGAGTCGGCCACGACTGGACCTAATGGTCAGGGGTCCCTTTACCCTTTACCTTTATTCTCTTCACAGACCTAACAGTTCCTTGGGAAGAGAGATTGACTGTGGGGCTTGTAGCTCTGTGAGGGGAATGGGAGCCTGCTAACAACCCTCAGTGCCATCAATAAACTATACTTCCCAGGATCATTTGAGGGAAGCCATGAAGTGATATGCAACTGCTTTAAATGTGTAGTACAGAGCGGCCTTTATTTCCATCCTTCTGTTTAGGTAGGCAGTCACCAATCTTTTTGGAAACATGAGAAACTGTTTCAGGCGCCATCCAACCCACGCTGCAAGCAGACACAAACCACCCTTTGCACTGCAGACCTCTCCCAATATGGGTGGGGCTGTGTTTTATTTCGTTTTTAAAGTTTCTTGGTCAGCTGCTAGCAGTCCAAAACCTTGGCCGACCCAACCTACTTCCCTTCCTTGTTCCAGAATGGTGTTTGCAGTGTGAACTAGGTGGGCTTGTGTGTGTGTGTTGTGTTGTGTGTGTGTGTGTGTGTGGCTGTGAATGAGAGGGTAGTGGTGCTTATGACACACAGAGAGAGACACACAAAAAAGCAGAGCATCTTTAAAGATGGGCATATATTTAATATTTATGCCAACTTATTCTAGAAATTATGATATAGCTACTTTCATCATTTGATTGTTGTTGATTACAATTAGGAAACGTATAGCTTTGAAATGATCTTTTTTATGACCTTGTGGTACTTTAAAAGCAATACCTCATTGATTAAATAGGTTTTAGTTCATGCTTCCTTTTACTTAATGATCTGAAAACATATTATCCTGATTTACACATAAAATCATGCTGAAAAGCATGTGGCATTCACTAGACTATGTGTGTTTAAGTAGAATTAAATTAGCACTGGAAGTTATTAAAGAAATTTCCCATCCCGTTGTCCAGTGGACTGTGATTCGTACTGAAATGAATAATAAATGAACCAGCACATATGAGAAAAGCACTGATATATAGGACATTCTATAATCCATATTTACCTTGCCATTATGTTTTATTATAATAATTTTGTTTGAGTGCATTAACACTCTAGGCCCTAATGCCACATTTTAAAATGAAACAGTAAACTGCAGCACTCTGTCGCAACCGGTTGGTAAGAGGAATTTATCAGATTTGCAAGCTTAACTGAAGGTGATCTGAAGACTTTTGCTTAAAAGTCCAGCTTTGGAGGGCATTTGGGTATGTGCTGGTTCTCTTTTTGAAAGACAAGCATTCTTCACGCAGGCTTATCCTTTTAGCTGATCCTTTTAGCTCTGTTCCCAAACCAGTGCCATTGTATAACGCCACCAGCCAGGAATTGGCACACCTAACCAGGATGTTTACTTGATTTATAGGGTGAGGGGTGCCAAAAAGCACAAGAACACGGTTCATAGTGTTACATTGTGGACTTTGCTTACTGAATCAATATGTAGTGATTACAATATCATTTGCAGCCGTTGGGTCATCCAGAATTCTTCTTTGGTGGCCAAGTGTGGTGACTTCTGTGGCTGATATTCCTGACCTTGTAGTTGCAGTGATGAATACAGGGACCTAACACATTCCTTTAGTATATATTTCCTCCAGTTATTTCAAATGACTGTTCTGCCTTTGATTCATTCAATCTTCCTCTACAACAGCTCTTGAAAGTGTGTTAGGGAGGTAATGATCCTTTCTTTATCTTAACTCTTTGTTTTTCTCACAAAACACATCCTTTACACCAGAAGTGTGAAATGTAGGAAATACGTTTATTTGCATGAGATGGCTGCTTACCAGATTGTTTCTATATTCTGGCTAACTTTGGTGTAGATTGGTAGTGTGCAGTTTACTCCTGCTTTCTGCCACCCCCCCCCCTGCCATTCTCTTAAAGGGCAGAAGCAGAACTGTAACAATCAATTACTAACCCCCCCCCCAAAAAAAAATTTGTTCACTTAATTGAAGGGCATGTGTAGAACTGTAGGCTACAAAACAGGGGGATGTGTATATTCTTTTCCAAAAGAAACTACCTTTTGTGGCTGTACTTACTTCGCTAAACCGTTTATTAGGCATTGCAAATATAGGCCATCATAAAATATCCATATAGAAAAATTTAAAATATATACAAATAGACAGCCATGCAAAAAATATGCAATAATATTTTCATTGGAGTTTCTTCCCTCTAAATAGTGCAATTCACCACTCTAAGAGATACTATTGATAAAAACTCAGCCACCCTTGCAGATTTTGTGGCTGTGTTCAGTGTTCTCTAGCAGGTGTTGAAATCACAAGGTTTCATATCAGTTAATGAAGAATGGGAATTGAGAAATATGTAAAGGTTTGAACTGAAAGCATGCATTAATTGCTAGGATTAATCCATTCATTTCCCTGTGATAAAATGGAAAATTGGTTTATTTATTTAATTTGAAGCAGGCTCCCGTGGAGTGAACTTGTTTTGAATATTTGGTGGATATCCCTTGATTTGGACAATAGCATATTTGACATGGTGTTTGAAAGAACAAATGATTTACCTGTGTAATCTAATCAAGAGAAATTATTATCCCAAATGTACTCTCAGCATAAAATCTATTGATTTGTTAATTACTGTAAGTTCACCAAAAGGAAATGTAATTTATTGATATGAACAATAACAATTCTTGGCTAATAGTAATTTTTTTGCAAAGTGTGAGTTTTTCTATTTGCAATAGTAAAAACAAACCAAAATACCAACATGATACTTTTAAAAGTTGTTATTTTAAAAATAAAATCTTGGATAAAAATTAATTGTATAATTATATAGAAGGTTAATGGAAATTATTTGTACGTGACAACAAAATACAGCTGTTAAAAAGTGTAGCATGTTTAGACTCTGGATTAGTTCAGTTATTTAAAAGATTGCTATGTAATATTCTTTAAAATTTTAACATAGCAAGAAAGACATATTTTGAAGATTATTGCATAGTAATATTTTAAATAACTGAGAATAGTGTTTAGAGTCATTTTTAAAAATATCTCTTTAAGATGGGGTTACATTTTTATCAACTATCCTCATTCTTTCAGTGCTGGTTCAAGAGTTCTTAGAAAATAATATAAAAAATAAAATAAAAACAAGATCCAAATGTGAATCCATAAATATGAAACTTTGTTGTGACCCTTCCCCTGTAGAGGTCTTGAGTTACTAATGGGGTTAAGAATTCAACTCTTAATGGGACTTGGTGCATTAGTGTTTTGTATGCATGGAATTTGGCATTTGGTTTAATAAGTGGTTGACATTGGTGATGTCCCTTAATTTGCTTAAATCTAATTGGCTCTTTTATCAGTCAAACCTGTATGGATTGGCAATTGATCAGAAAGGGTCAGCCATGACTGTGCATGTAGTTAAATGATGGAACCACCAGCTAAACTCGGTGTTGCATTATAATAAGCTGAAACCAGGAAAACAAATGATCTCAGAGTTGTAAAGCGAAAGAAAACAGAAGTTTTGCATGATGTTCAAGTTCAGAACAAAGGCATTATGGAGTGTATAAATTTTAAATACACTGCATTTGGCCTCAAGACTTTTTTTTTCCAGAGGAACTGAAATCTTGTCTGGAACTGTCTTTGTTACATCAAAGAACTGCATAGAAAGCTAAAAGAGACAGAAGAAGCATAAAAGGGCATAGTTTAAAATGATTAGTGACAAATTTCATACTGCAGAGGTAGAAATAGTTTTCTTCTGAGCTCTCTTTTTCCCTAAAATGAATAAATTCATCCCATTAATCTTGTCCTAATATGTTTCAGGAGGAGTTGTGTGTCTGTCTGTCTCTCTCTCTCTCTCTCTCTCTCTGTGTGTGTGTGTGTGTCTGTGTCTGTGTGTGAAGCTCAGCAGAATAATCAGACGCTGGCATTCAAGCAATTTTGAAATTAACTCAAATAAATAGCAATTATGGTCTTTAAAATAGCATGAAGAAATTTATGAGAACATTATACATTCCATTATAGTTGTCTTGTGGGATGGTTTCGTTGTTCAGTGAGAAAGACAAAGGAGGAGGGTGCAAGGAAGAACCTACTTCTTTGAAATGTATGTTGTGCTAGCTCAGTTCAGTAGGCAATAGAAGCACATGCCTAGGATGTCACAGTTCAAGTGGCACCAGGCTCCCCTGGAAAACTGTCAAAGTAGGAGCACATATGGAATTTGCTGCCAAGGAGTGTGGTGGAGTCTCCTTCTTTGGAGGTCTTTAAGCAGAGGCTTGACAACCATATGTCAGGAGTGCTCTGATGGTGTTTCCTGCTTGGCAGGGGGTTGGACTCGATGGCCCTTGTGGTCTATTCCAACTCTATGATTCTATGTATCCCCAGACCAGAATCCCCAGGGTTTTTTTGGAGGGGGCGTGAAGGGGGCAGCGTAAATGTTCTCTACCGTTTTCTGTCCTATTGACACTTGC